CCGTCTTGGAGAACATCTCGCTGTCCAGGTCACCGCCCGTCCGGTCATTAGCGACAAGATCGCAGGCACCGTCGACAATGCGCGGGTTCAGTTTAGAGTGTTCGAAGATGAGGGAGCGGAAGAGGCTGATCGAGATTTCGCGGAGGGACTCGTGTCGCGGGAGCAGGTAGGCGCGGTCGAGATAGCAGAAGATCCAGTCAAGGTATTTCTGCAGTTTGTCAGTATGACAGCGTCCGCACGTATATGGGTATAACTGACCATTTGGCTGTTCCACACTGCCCACGCCTGCAGAGTTGCCCGCAGTACATCAATGTTTGGCCTTCCCAGACTCTCCTTGACCTTTGCCTTCAGACTTCCACCGACGTAGTCCTTGCATTTGGCAATCAAGCGTTCCTTGATGTCTTTCGCCATATTCTGGCGACATACATTCTCTACACCTCTGTATAGTTCTTCTAGACTAAAGTCCACATCCCCCTGCCGAAAGATGGTGTCCAGAGCCTGATCGATCTTCGTCCATGTTTGGTCCAGGAAGACCCTGGGGTCCACCTTCCTCGTGGGCTTGAAGTTCTTGACCACCAGTCGCTTGGGACCATTGTTGGCATGCATGTTGGGCGCTGCTTTGCGCATGCCATTCCGTTGCCCGTTGGCTTTGGCAGGGCTGTTGTCGGGGCTTGACGTGATGTCTACCACGTCGGCATTGCTCGATAGTCCCGCCTTCTTGCTGGGGAAGTGATACATTTCTGCTGTGCTCATCTTCGTAATCGGCGCTGGGGGTGTGGCGATCTCGGTGGTGGGGATCGGAGAGCTGTCACGTCGTGTGCGCTTGCTAGTGGGTGAGAGCGGCGCTGCGGAGGCGAGCTTTGGCTTGGATTGTGTGGTAAAGAGCTCTTTGATCGTCTTGCCCGAGTGCTTCCGTTTCAGTGCACCTGGATTGGCTGACATTGGGCGGACGTGGGGAGGACCCGGAAGCTGATGATTGCGGAGCTGTTGCTGTTAAAGCCGCGGCGATGGCAGTGACGCGCTTGATCCATGCCCCTTTCGGGTACACTAATGACGATATCGATAACGACGGAGATCTGAGGGTACATGGACAGACAAACCTCTTACATCTCATCTCGTATGCGCACATGGGAGCATTCAATCTTTCGTCCAACTATGCTTTGACGCGTCTGTTGAGGCTCTGGGTGCGACAACATGGTTGATGATGTACTGTGCATCGTGCCGCAGATCTGTCATCAGCCATTGACACCCGCCGCATGCATGCCGCTCACATTGCGATGTCATCAATTCCATCCTTCTCCACAAGCTCGCATTTCGGGCGAGTGAGCAACATTCTGTTGAAATTGCTTGCAAATAGAGGGTGCGTGGATGCCCAAGGTTGTTACATATTACCTGCTTCTAGCGCCTACATCACGACCACCGACAGACATCTGGCTCAGTCTACTTCCCTCTATCGGCTCCTCATCTTCCATTTACAAGATATGATTGCGAGATCACTCAACGTCCGCGCCGTCGCCGCCGCTGGCCCTCTATCTCGCCAATGCTACCCAACATCCTTGCGGCGTAGCTAGCTGCCATCGGGTTCTTTCTATTATCGGACATCTGTTCCTTCTCTAACTTCTCTAGCGCCTACCCGATTGATGTAGATACCGGCTAAATTATTCCAGGCTGACACCATGAAAAGGGATTTGGGGCTGAAACCTTGTGGTCAGCCTTTGCACATGTTTTGGCCGCCCCTTCGTCGTACACTCGCCGGTTCCTTCGCTTCAGTCATATCTTTTATCGTTATCATCACGCCCGCCCTTTCTTTTACGTTTGCGCGGCCAAACAAACAACAAAGACGTCGTTCGTCAGCTACAACATGTGCACGCGCGTTAAGTTGCCAGCAATCCGACGAGTTGCGGTCACCCCACGCGACGATTGTGGGGTATCTACCCGTGGGCTTCTCCAGACGGCTACCGTTTGTGGAGACACGCCGGGGTTTCTCTGTGTGCGCACGCGAGTTTTGACCCGCAAGAACGGAAGTGTGCACCAACACCGTAACATCGATGCTAGGTGCCATCGCCATTGGCCACATACTTCAACAGTGTTTAAATCAACTCGCCGTCAGCCTCTGTTAACGGTCTTCTAGCCGGACAGACAGTGGCTCTACCACACTTCCAAGGTCTTTGCCGGTCAGCTTCAGCGCTGTCAAGATATAGCAACGGCACTCCCCGCAGAGAGTAAAACGCTACCGCCATCGCGGAACGTTCCTCGTATCGCAGCCATTGCGTCCTGTGGTGGGTCTACGAGGCTACCAATAATAGTCATTTTGTTGCTATTGTCGTGCCACACAGAGCAGCCACCAGGAGGCCGAAAGACGCCACCGCCAAACCTCTTGGGAAACGCCCGCATCCCTTTGCCTATCACCTGCAATGTCTCGCACCTGCCCCTGGTAAGGCGAAGCCTAATGCCGACTTTTGTTCCCTCTCTCCACACTATTTGGAGTTGCCAGTTTTGTCACAGGCGAGACTAGTTCACACAAGCTCTCATCCGTCTCTGACAGTAGCAAGATTACGACTGCAAGAACTGCTGAGAGAATGCGCCTTCAAAGACCAAGACCGAGGATACTGGTCTGTGATTGCTCGAGGTTAACATGTGAGACGGAACACGGGGCTCACTTCCTCGCCCACGCGACAACGACCCGCGCGGGATGAGCCATCATGCTGGTACCTGACCATACAACTGGGCCTTGATATCACATCCGTGCATCAACATCACTGCCCAAGCAGACCAGGGCATCTAGCAGAAAGCTCGTCAGCCAGGCCACGCCATCTTGGAGACAGGAAGAGTGAGACTGAACAACCCAGCGATTGAGCCTTACTCGACTACCGTAGCAGGTGCATACCCTTAGTGTGGATAGATGAGATGCCAAAATTGGAAACATGGTTGGCTAGCACGGTCTCTACATGACGTCCCATCCCCCGAAATGGAAAACGCTGGTATGGCCGCCTTTCCATACCCTAACACACAGACCGTGGCCCCATCGATCCCAAGCCTAGCAGACGCTCAACCCAACCAAGCTATTCAGGGCTAGTTGTCTATCGACGTAGCCAACAGGACGTCGCGGCAACGTACTACTCACTTGATGGTTTTACGCCATTTCGCCCGTTTGCTCGACCCTCACTGGCTCTCTGGCTTCCGATATCCAGCATCCCTCAACCCACTCGCCGTGAGACCTTCGTTATCAATCTTTGCTGCGGCGAAGGGGCACTGTCTGAACAGTGGCTTGTTCATCCTTCCTACAAGGCTCACTGGGGCTTGCATCCATTCCTTCACAACCCACACCTGTGTTACCGATGGTGATTTTGCCACCCCACGTCCTCGCTGGCTCTCATGTATATCAAAAGCTGCTCTGTCGGACGCTGTTCAAATGCCACTTCCGCCCTTCAGATGACACACGCCCCAGTCGCATACAACTCATTGTCCTCCTGACTATAATCGTACCTTGGCAACAAAACGCATTCGGAGTATTGACTAAGCCGATACATCATCAAAATACACATCACAAACCATGAGTCGGGCTCCACGGCGCTTGGCCAAGTCTAGCAGGTCGGGCCCAGTTGCAATCTCGCCCAAGAATGGTATGTTCGCTCTCAGCAGCCGGGCACGCACATATACTAAACTACCTAGCACAAACAACACTGAGCCGCCCCTCTGCACCATCATGCCCATACCATCACTTAATACTTCAACTCAAAGTCGTGCCTGACGCACTTGAAGATATGCACCCCATGGATCGCTTCATCGCGGCGCCCTCATCACATCACCCTGTGGCGTTCACGGAAGCTTTCAAAGTCGGCACTGCTGCTTCGGATGGATGTACTTGCATCTCAACCACAACCGTCACCTTGGAATTACCGTCGTAGATGAGCATGGTGGATGTTATTATATTGCACGTACACCACCAAGAACAAGCTGTTGAAGGTCGGGCGTCGACCTTTCAAGAATGTGGAATTGGTGAAGCTCGGAAGCAGAACTCCAAAGCGTTAGTGATAAGATATTATATGGGGAATGTTTAGAGGCGCACTTTGATTGATTTGTATCTCGAATAGAATAGAAACACTCTCTCGTTCAAGGACATGAGCTTGCACCAAATCCGTCTTAACCTCAAGCATCAAGCTCTCCAGGGCTACTGTCGGTCGTGTAGCGTGAAACCCCTCTCTCACATGCCCAGGTGTCGTCCCACTTTTCACCGGCCCACAATGTCTTGGCTTCGCGATGTTTTGCTTTCCAAGGTTTGCAAAAGTGCTACAATCCACGACCGTTTCGCCACCTACCCAGCTGGGAAGCCTCGTCACGTGACAAAGCTTGGCAAAGCGACCTTTTGCTCTCAAGAAATGCCGTTTTCAACGGACTTCCGAAGTTACTCAACTGGGTAGTGTCCGGGCATCGTTCTCTTGGCAGAAATGCCCTCTTATTCCAGCAGCAATCAACAGTGCCAAGGTTCTTTAAACCTTCCTATTGCGGGAACAGCGATGTCTTGCTCTCAGAAGTTTGCTGTCATCGACGGATTTTCAAAGATGCCCGATGCGGTAACAGCGGCCTCTTGCTTTCACGAAGTGCTGTCTCTAACGTTTATCTGTATTGCCGGATCGGAAGCTGGACACCCAGACCACAACTGAATGCCGTCACCATGAGCCGACGCGCGGCACGAAAACAGTGCAAGCATATTATTCCCGGCAACGAAAAGCGATGCTACAGACTGCTACTCTGCAGCTTGTACCGCGCTTTTGGAATGCGATAGTGCTTTCCACCAAGAGCTGCAGACTATCTGATTGTCTTCTTTGTGCACTTCCATCCATCCACATCGCTGTTGTCAGATCTCATAGAGAAGCAACGCATTACTGATTGAGGTGACAACTGATTGCAATACTCAAATGGACCATGCGATCGAATTTCACAGCGTAGCATGATTTAGATGTATTTGGGGTATCTCATGATCGACCAAAACCAACACATCACTCCTGCGTCCCCCTCTTGGCAGCCATCATCTCACGATACTTGTCAATCATCTTCTGACGCTCCTCGCCCAACTCCTCCCTTTTCCTCAAGCTACCAGCCAGTTTGGGGACATTTCCGACTTTGGCGCCTGCACCGTTCTTGACCTTGAAGATCTCTCTCGGCACCTTGTCGAAAGTTGGCGGTGCATGAACTATGTCGTGCAAGCCCTTCCGTTCCTCTCTCTTCTTCTTAAGAGCTTCCCACTCGTCTTCGCTGCCATTGTCTATCTCGCCCGCCAGCTTCCTGCGTTTGTTCTTCTTCGCCTTCTTCGTCTTGCCGTTGACTGTTCGTGTAGTTGGCAAGTCGGATGTCTTGTCTTCCCACATGGCATCCAGCTCGTCTTGTTCTTCTTCTGCCAATTCCGCTGCCTCCATCTCCTTCTCTCGTATCCGCGCTTCTTCTTCCCTCCATCCCTTTTGTAGACGTTTGAGATGTCGTTCGTGCTTGGTGACTCTGTGATCGCTGACACCAGCGACCTTTTTGCCGGACTTAGTGATGCCTGACATGGGCAACGCTGCGTCAACTCGCGCGCGGAATTCGTGCATCGACTCTCCAGGTTGTATTTTCAGTGCGGTAGTTGGTTGCACCTGCTCCTCGCTCTTGTTGTTTGCATCGTCCTTCTCCAATGCCTCAGCTGCGGCTTGCTTCTTCTGCTTCTTGCTTTTCACCGTGCCGTCGTCGAGCCCTGAGCGCTTCTTTCCGCCCTGGGAGAAGGCCATGAGCCGCTGGAAGGCCTTGGGGGTGTCGTCTGCGCCATAACCTTCGACTTGGTTTACTTTGCGCTTTTTGCCTTTGGTAGCTGTGCTGAAGGTGCGCGCCTTGCCGACGGCGAGGGGAGCGGCGTGGACGTTGGGCGGAAGGTTGAACCTGTTGGCGATGTCAGAATATCGTCTACAACTGATTAGGCTTGCGAAAATACGAAATGACGTACTGGGTATCATCCTCCTCCACGCGTCTGTGTTTGTGAGGCATATTGGGTATTGGCTGGCTGTCTATTCGATACCGAGTCCCGACGGTAATCAGTCGATGGCTGTCGCAAAAAGTTACGGAGTCGCGACAGGGATTATCGGGCAAGTGGGGATCGGATATCTTGGCATTGCGCGCACGTGTCGCTCCGCTTCACCCCGCCATTCTCACTTGCGGAGGTGCTGCAAGACATGGAAAAAACATACACGGCCTGCCGAGGCGGTGCTTGCGATGCTTAGAACTTCCGGCTTACCGCCTCATCTGCAAGCTCTCAAGTGTGGCGCAGGCCCAGAACAGAACGACCGAAAACTTACAGCGTACGCTGGAACCAATCACGGCAGTCGTGTCGCCGTGTTCAATTAGCTCAGCGAGAGACACGCAACATGCAACCCGTCAATCCTGGAAACACGACGCTATCGAGACTAAATGCATTGTTTCGCAATCAAGGCAAAAATGATGCCCCATTGTGACAGTTTCGGACCGAAGCCATCACCACTACGCGTCCGGGCAGGTGCAACGTGGATGCGTCGTTTATCGCTACCAGTCCACCGCCGCATTCAAATAAACCACTGAGTGCGCAAGCTCAGCAACGTGCCCATTCAAAGCACAACCTTTCTGATCATCTGCTCCGACTTTCACCAGACCGAGTCGTTAGCATCTGCCGTTGAGTGTCGGTCATCCTCTCACTCGCAACCAATCACCATCGCCAGCCGTGTTGCGTGCCCGAACTCGCTCTCCAGGCCGTGCTCCAGTTCTCGAACGCTGCTGGGCGCTGCGGCTGTCTCGAGGGCTTGCATGCTGATAGCCCGCACTTTATCTTCGTGGGTTGCATTCGTTTCACAGGTGGGCTGGCCGATCGCACTCTGTCTCGCAATAAGTAGCCCCCGGCCCAGATTGCTCTTGACAACTCCAAAGCCTTTCGACTTCAACCCATCGACAGCGAGAATCTTAAGAGGCTCAACCAAGGAACTGGACCCTGCGTTTTGCGCGACTTTCTGGATCCTGCACTGAACTGCGGAGGTGCATCGCGCCAGTCTAGCCTCCTCCGAACCCAAGGACGGGACAATAGCCAGTCTGGATCACCGGTACAAAGCTCGTGGCGTTTTGGAGCGACTGTCGAAGAGGAAGGTGTGTTTAGCCAGCGAACGCCTTGGTTCTGAGGTGCAAACTCGCCCGGGCGAGCAAAGACGACCTTTAACATCTCAATTCTTTCATCGCATCCTCCATCGTTGAACAGGTGCGCTGCACATATCGATGTCGCTTGCCCCACCTCTCAGGGTCCAGCAAGTTAGTCGTGCCAGATCCTTGCCTGCGATTGGCTCGTGCCTGAAGATGGCTACCGAAACCCCCTCCACCCAACCTCTTCTACGCATCTCTTCCGACTCGGAATCTTCTTTCGATGCGAAAGCCCCTCATGTTTCTTTGCGCGAATTAGAAGATGGCAACGGCTCCATCTTTGCTTCGGACGAGGAGGAGATAGGATCGCGACCTGGGTTCTGGCGCCGGCTGAGGATGAGCATTCGAAGACGGAATGCAAAGTTGCGGGCCGACGAGGACTGTGGACGTGTGAGGCTACCGGATGAAAAGACGCAGTCGAAGAAGTATCGAGTGAAGAGGAAATATGCAGCTAGAGCCTGTGTTATAATACCACTGCTGGTATTCATCTTCTTGTAAGTGCCTGTCAGACCTTAGCTTCCGCGCGTTCCGGCGGCAACCTTCTCATTCGACAGTTCCCTGCCCTACATGCAGCTGTCATCCTGTGATGATCTGGAGAAAGAAGAATAAATATACTGACTCTATTAGTGGTGTTCTTCACATCGTCAACGTATTTCTCGGCTACGTGCCTACTTTTCTGGATGATTATGTAGTCTCGTCGTTCGACTCGAGTGTGTTAGACAAGGCGCAGCTCCTAGATATAACACGCGACGTAACTCCGGTCCCTTGCCACTCGCACAACGATTACTGGCGCCGAGTACCACTATACGACGCCCTACGCTGGGGTTGCACAGGCGTCGAAGCAGATGTATGGCTCTTTGACGAAGAGCTGTATGTTGGTCACAGCACCAACGCCCTGACGCAAGATGGCACCTTCACATCCATGTACGTCGACCCATTGGTCAAGATGCTAGACCACAAGAACGAGCTCGGAGAATTTGCGACATCATCCAGCGTCAAGAACGGTATCTTCGACACCGAGCCTGCGCAGACTCTGGTCCTACTAGTCGACTTCAAAAACAACGGTCACGACATCTTCCCCGTAGTATCCCAACAACTCAATGCACTCCGCGAAAAGGGCTACCTCACCTACTTCAATGGCAACACCACCATCGAAGGCGCCATCACTGTCGTAGCAACCGGTAACGCTCCCTTCGACCTCATCACCGCAAACTCAACCTACCGCGACATCTTCTTCGACGCTCCCTTGGACAAGCTCGATGAAGGTTCAGTCACCACCCGCGGCGGCCAAGGCACAGTCGGCACAACACCCACTTCCCACTTTGACAGCACAAATTCGTACTACGCATCCGTCAACTTTGGCCACTCAATCGGCACACTTTGGTTCGGTCGCATCACGGAAGCCCAGCGCCTTAAGATCCGCGCTCAGATTCAAAGTGCAAAGGAGAGGGGGTTGAAGTCGCGGTACTGGAGTGCGCCCAAGTTCCCTATTGGGCTGAGGAATAGGGTGTGGAAGATGCTTGTTGAGGAGGGAGTGGGATACTTGAACGGAGATGATTTGCAGGGTATGACGAGATTGGATTGGGGGGTTAAGAGACACTGGGGATTGATCGGTTGATCGAGCTCATCGATCCTCAACAAGAGGGGAGGGAGGATGAAGATACGATTTTACGTGGCATGTATGGCGTTCTAAAGGAGTTTGTTCTTGTGGGGACCTAGCATTACAGCTCTTGGTGGCATTAGTTGAAGATACCCGATAGATGAGATTACAATCAACCATCTTTCTCATATCCTAAGTCGTCATCGACATGCAGCATGTTCCTTTACAGCGACCGTCAGTCATCAGCGTATCGACCTGGATGAACGGGAACTGTGTGATCAGAAAGTCATATATACATAATCTCAATCCAATAAGACAAATAAGGGAGTAGCGAAGTCATAGTCATCAACATCAACAAAGAAGCTTCTTTTCCGCTTCACGAAACGCCAACAGCGCCATACAGTCTATACCCAACACGAAGGCCGTCGTCATCCAGTCATTCCTACGTCTAGAACATACTCCAGCCCTTCTTCCTCCGGTCATCCCTATCATCTCGGCGGCCCATCATGCGCTTCTCTCTTTGCTCGAGTTGGCGCAGACCCTCCATCTCCTTGAGTACGTGTTCGAGGAGGTCCTTGCGACGCACGACATCGAGGTGGCGTTTGATCTTGGGGTCTTCTTTGGCAAAGCGGTCGATTTCTTCTTGGGAGAGGCCGCGGCCTAGACGGGCGTCGAGTTCACGTGGGAACTAGAGGGTGTTAGTGAAAGTTGTGTGAGTAAGGAGAGGGGTAGTGGCTTACGATGTAGTAGAACTTGCTTAGCAGCTCAGCGTCAAGGAAGAGATCGGCAGTCGTTGTAAGCTTGTCTGCTACAGCGTCGAGAAAAACTTCTGGGCAGTGGTATTTGTTCTTCTTGCTGGCGCATTGCTTGCTCTTGATGGCGAGGAGGCGTAGTTTGAGAACGTCGATACGGTCGCGGAGGAAGACTGCTTCTCGGCCTGTAATGTTGTTAGTGCTGAGTTCGGGCGATAAGAGAGGTAGACTTACCCTTAGCAAGGAGGGCAGAGCTGAACCCGCCAGCACCACCAACTCCGTCACCTTCAAGAACAACTTGTCCGCTTCGTACGCGGTCAATGAATGACATCACGTCCCTGACTCGCTTGCGGCCACCAACTTGTTCTTCAAGCTGCTTTACGGCAGCCTCAACGACCTTCAGCTCGTCCTTGAGCACAGCCGTGACATTTTCCCGGCCTTTTGCCCATTCGTTGTCCTCGACTTCGATGCGGTATTTGTAGGGCTTGATGCAGATCTCCAACTCGTCGGAGATGTCGTAGGAAAGGTCTTTGAGGATGGAAGTGGAAGCGTCGGTAATGGCTTGTCGGGCGAAGGGGTGGGCGGCGAAGCGAGAGTTTGTGATGAGGCGGTCGATGTGTGCTTGGAGCGCACTTGCGACAACGTTGGTGGCTAGACGTCCGACACCCAATTTTGTAAGTGCAGCACTGGAGCTATCGAGCTTGATCTGCCATATTTGATCTTCGCCATCGATATCAGCTTTGGCAAGGTTCGTAAGAGGGTCGGTCTCAGGGAAGGGAACGCTGAGGTCGTCGAAAGGTCTGTTCCAGTAGCGCTGTGCAAGCAGGTTGAGTACCTGTTGGTCGAGCTCGTGCTTGAGCAAGTCACGAACTTGTTGGCGACCGAACTGCTCGGTGAAGCCACGGAAGGAGTGCTTGAAACCATCTAACGATTCCGCAAGGTATGACTCTGCGCTGATAGGTCGCTCGTTGTATTGGACCTTGTATTCGTATCGGGCGTCTTCGAGCTCCCTTTGGATAGCCTCGCTCGTTGTCTTGAGGCTGCCGGCCATTGTCTGCTCGAGCACATGCATGAGCTTCTTCTTGAGGTTCTGGGTTCCGACAGCGAGCTCCGATCCTTCTGAGAACTCGGGATGCGACGAGAAGTAGGCTTTTTCGTTCTTTGTGATCGCATTGGTGATGTTGCCGTTGCCACGGCTGAAGAGCTTCGAACCACCAGCACCGGGCGGTACCCGGCACACTACACCGACGTATCCCAAGCGCAGAGCATACTTCTGGTCGCTGAGAAGGCTGGCACCGCGTTCGGCATCCACAAGGTCCATCTTTGTAATGACACCAATAGTCCTCTCGCCTCGAGGGTCCATGCGTCGGGACGCTCGCAGCGCGGTGCTGTTGGCCAGATCCACGTCGGCGGCGGAGATGGCGAGGATGACGTTGGGTGCCTTGATGTATTTCTCGCAAAGCTGCGAGATCTTTTCCTTCAGCTGCGGGGGCTGGTCTCGGCCAACGACCTGGATGTAGCCGGGCAGGTCTATCAGGGAGAGATCAGGGACGTTTGGCGAGTAGATGCGCAGTTGGATAGGGTCATCGGAGACGCAATCGCTCGCTGGCACAGCCAGGTTCAGGTCTGTCAACGTCTTCTGCACCTGGCTGAAATCTGTGACCTTTCCCAAGCCGAGAGCAGGGAATTCGCAGTACTCTGCGTGCGCATCTGGTGTGTTGACGAGTGTGAGCTCAATGGGTCGCCGCGTTACCATGTTGTGTCCTTTCGGCAGGAACTCGTGGCCCACGATGGCTTCCAAGACCGAACTCTTTCCGGACGATTGCGATCCGATGACAACGATGGAGGGCAGCGTGAGCGAATCGGACTGTCCAACAGTCTGCAGAAGCCCGCGTATCTCAATCATCTTCTTGGTGAGCATCATCATTTGCTCGTCTCGTGCGATCTTCTCCGCCTGTGGTCTGTCTTCGTCATCTTCCTGGGCATATCCGAACGCCGCCGCTGTTGATGCACCGGCAGCAGCAGATCCAGCACCGCTCTGCTTGGGTTCTTCTGGGCCTCTGCCGCCACCGTTACTGCCACCACCACCAGATTCGTCCTTGGCGAGTAGGCGCTGTAGCCATTCCGGGTATTGCACGCCCTCGAATTCGTCCTTGGTCGACTTGAAGCCCTTTTCTAGCTGGTCGAAGAAGCCATTTGCCGTGCTGAGTGCGCCGCCCGCAAATTCGGTCGCGCCGTCTTTGGTTCGGTGGAAGAGGTCGAGTGCGAATGTTCCCGCCTCTGTTTGAGTTAGAGCCAGTCAATGTGTTAGTGTACATGTACATACGGCCAGCTTGGTACTGGATATATGAGACGCCTGCAACGACAGCCCCTCCTGCAGCGGCGCCTACAGTCGCAAACTTGCCCACGAGCTTCGGTATGACGCGCGCAAAGGAGATGGAGCGTGTAGCGGGGATGTTGTGCAGCGAGTAGCTACCCAGCGGCCATGGTCGTCGCTTCACCAGGCGTAGGCCGGCTTGGTTGCGGAGGAGGCCACCGGCGGGCAGCGAGTGTGTCGTGTAGAAGCGCGGAGTGAGCAGCGGTGAGCGGCGTGCGATGGTGGAAAGGCGGCCCGCGACGAGCCTGCCGCTCATATTGACGACAAAGAGACCACGACAGGTCTGTGGTAGGGCATAGGGTCAGGTAGGGGACGTGGGTGCGCGGCTGGTCGAGCGTTCAGGTGCGGCTATGCACGTCACCCATCGACTTTTGGGACGCCGAGTGCTTGGGCCTTCAACACGCCGCGTGGGGCTGCGAGTCGCTCGACGAACAACATTAAGACACGACATCTAACCAGTCCTTCTTTTCCATTCATCTACGTGGTCTCGGGTATCTTCGAATCCTAGCTTTACTTCAAACACAAAATTGCCCTTTCCCCAAATGCATTCAACAGCGACCCTTCCTCCTTGATCATGTCTCTCAGCCAGTTCCTCGAGCCTTCAACTTCCCTGCTGGCGAACTTGACTAGGACAAAGCCTCTCACGTTCGCAGCACTCCATATCAACCCATCGGCCTTTTCTCTCTGTTGCCTCTCATACCGCCTCTGCTCATGCGCTTGAAGCTCTGGCTGCACCGCGTCGCCCCAGTTCCTCCCACCAATACGCGGTAGTGCCTCGAACTCATCCAAGAAGAACTTTGACAGTGACGAAAAGATGGGGCCACGAACGATCAAGGTGCCGAAGACAGAATAGCTGTCCATACGTGATGAGAGTAGCAGCCCCGTCTTCCCATGCTTGTCTAGAATGAGGTTGTCCCGTAGAAGCAGTCTCCTTTCGCCGGCATCGTCTACGGTCCAGACCTCGTTGCGGCTCTTGTATTCGTAGATATCCCAGTTCTCTCCGCGTGCGGAACGTCCACTCGTGACCCAGTCGCAAACACACAGGTTACCTTGCTCTTTCTCCAAGTGATAGATCTGGGACTGAGAAAAGGCCGTGTTGGCAAAAGGCTGCACTGGATCGGGGAGATAGACTAAAGCGGAATTGTTCTTGAGACGTATGTTCATATGTTGTCGTGAGACTAACTCTGGAGTAGGGGTCTTGAAAATCTTAGTCGACCCTTGCGTCAACAGTATCAGCCGTGTACTGCTGTCTAGTCTGACTTCCAGGTCTATGCTGTCTCCAGCTACGATGCCTCCACCATAGGTCAAAAGAAAGACTGTATGAATGAGACAGGGGGTGACTGCTGCTGTGGCGTCCTCTGCTTCTCTGCCATAATTGGGTGGTGCTAGGGGATCTGGGGCGACTAGCTTAAGTGGGTATTGATATGACACGGTTCGAAGGACAGGCGTATCTGGAGGAAGAATTTCGAGGATTATGGATCCATGGCCAGGTTTTGATGCTGATGTACCGAAGGGAGAGATAAAGGACATGTCGGAGTGCTATTAGTGCTTGCAAAAGATCATCTTTTACTAAGGTCGGCCCTGAACATGTGTATTGATTTGGCTAGGGTTTGTGCGGAGATGCATCCAAATCTTTGATAGCACCAGTATGTGCGCCTGAAAGAGCAGCGGCTTCCTCTGGAGGACGGGATGGCGACTATCAGATAAGTGAGTGCACTTGCCTGCGTGCCTGCCTGTTCGATTAGCGCGAGCGCGGACCAAGCCGCCAAGGCGCGACGCGGGGCAGGTTTCTTCCTCTCTTAGTCACTTTTCTGCAGCTCCCAACCCCACCTAAACGCTGCCAAAGTATTTACCGATTCGACAACTTTTTGCACGCGTTCGAAACTCGACATCGACAACTTCTGCAAACTACTCCAAGCGCGCGCTGGGAATTTTTGGTATCCCGGATAACACCGACTCCTGCGCCCAGAAGTGATCCACAACGGCTGCAGCCACTCACAGCGCGATCTTACCCAGCATCCTCCCGCAGTGCGCGTTCGAATCGCCGCATCACCACTTTTGACATGCATTAAGCGCGTATCATCGCAATCCCAATCACACTACCGGAGTTGAAAGGGGATGGGTGGTAGCAACATGGCGTCAGGTTTTGACAAGCTGTTGGAATTTTTGCTGTCAGAAATTGCACTTCGCGGCATTCAAGGTATGCATGACTCGCTGCGCGTGTAGTCGTTACTTCCGTTCGCGCACTGGCCTTCGTCTGAGCGACTCGATACCTCTATTCATCCATGAGCTGTAACACCAGACTGATTGGAAGGGGGAGTGTCGCGTTCGCTTCACCTTGATCGCTATTTTCCCTTTGCTTCAGCCTTTTCGTCATTTACTCCCTGGTCTCATTCACTGACATGTCCTAGGTGCTACTAGCGCAGACTTCCGTCACTTCGTTGAGAGTTTCTACAAACAAGGCGTCGATAACGGCGGACCCAAGTCTGATGATGGAGACAGCCGTCTTCCTTCGGCTGGACTTGGCCGCACGTTCTATGAGCGTCTGTGGCAATGGCTCACTGATCATCCTGATATCCGCATAGTCTACCAACAGGAAGTTCGTCAATACACTCTCTCAGAGTTCGAGGCGGCCGAGCTACACGAGACTGGTACCATCGGCGAGGCACCCGCAACAGGTTCACTTCAAAATTCCGATAATCCCATCAAAGCAGTAGAGCAGCCTTCCAAATCTCTCTTTGCTTTGCGGGACTCTCTGCGCCAACACATCCTCGGAGATCAACATGACCCGCAAGACCTCTCCACTCGGTCGCCCGAAACTCCAACCCATCCAAAATTGTCACGACCGCGACGTAACCTGCCAGATGGACCGCATCGTACCACAGCAGTCTTCGACGATCCTAGCCCTGACATCACTGCCCCTCGTTTGTATGCGAGTCAGAGCAGGGTATGGCAGGCGTTGACCGGCCACGGTATCGACTTGAAGAAGGTCCCCGCCATGGAATTTGTCTTGCTCTCCCTCATTGCTGCCCGCGGATCGGCAGGCATCACACAGCCCGAACTGATCAACGTCAGTGGCCAGGATAAGAGGTCTGTTCCGCATAGGACGGATGAGTTAGCTCGCAAGAACTACATCAGCAAGATTTCTGTACAATCCAACAAGATGCGCACCAGCCTCTGTATTCACAACAAATTCGTCTCTCAGAACACCTTCATCGAGTCTAGTGCCGTTGAGGACGTGTATCAGGAGGACGGTACGTTTGTGGTCCGGAACTTTGCTCAACTCCTGTACAACAAAGTTGGCCAAGGTGGCATCGTTCCCACGCGATCTATTAGGGAGAAGCTGGTAAGTGTACGGCCTTTATAATCATGTGTCGCGTTCTAACATTACTAGGGTGTCCCAATGTCATCCTGGAACAAGCGCGCCACCCAGGGTGCAATTATCCGACTGGATCAAACAGGAATGATCAAGCGCCGTAGAGTTCGTAAGAAGAAGTCTGCCGACGCTTGGATCACATGCATTCAGGTCATGCGCGCGCCACAGGACGAAGACGTCAGGAACCTTGGCTTCCGTCGAACAGCTCCTATCACGACGGATGCGAAGGGCGAGCTACGCGATGAGGATGTCGATGGCGACTCGTTGTTGAACGATCTCAATGACGACATGCCAGACGATCCAGATGCCAATGTCAGCGACCGAGCTAATGCTCAGCCTGCTCCTGATCAAGCTGTCAGCATTCCCCCGCAATGGACGCCTGACCGCTTTCTTCCGAACATGATTTTCAATGCTGCTGCACTGGCTGGTGCGCAGGGTTGGGACGCTGAGGTTCTACGCAACCGGATTGTCGGGCCCTTTTGGAGACGGCCCATTGAATCGTATTTCACCCGTGTGACCAATGACTGGGAGAAGACACAGCCTTTCCATCTGCGGCATTTGGCTGTCATACGAGATGCTGGTAATACCAAAGCAAAGAAGTTCGTTCACTACCTCTATCGCACGTACGAGAATTTCCAGAAAGCTGTCGATGACGAGATCGCTGTCTGGGAAGGTGTTTCGGTGCCTGGAAAATCTGCGAAGAGCTCTACGAGCGAGGTGTCACTCAACGCGTGGGGTTTCCCAACCGTCAGTGCCAAAGACTTAGTTCGAAAGACTGGTGCAGCAACACTATCTGAAGCTGGTCTGGCCATTGTGAAACCTCGCAAGAACGGCCCGCGTTGGGATAACGGTGTCGCAGAGCAGATCGGCTATCAGAAGCACTCGAGTTCAATGCTGAAACCTACAACATCTGATATAGCAGGTCGGTCCAAGAAACAGAAAGCCGTCAAAGTCAAGCCCGCCAGGGTACCAAAGGCTGCTAAAGCTTCTAAGACGCCTTCAACCATCTCGCTTACTCCCGAGCAGAAGACTCAGCTGGGACTGCATCGCCATGCTCGCCTGAGCAGACATGTTCAAAACCAAATTCTTGCTCATCGCGAAAAGACCGGTGATCCGTCAGCAATACCTGACAGCATTGAGCACGGTTCGGCAAAACGTCCACTAGCTCAGCCGTTAATGACAGCAGAAGAGCGGATAGCGAAGGGTATAGCACCAAAAGGGCGCATGCCAATGGACCTAGAGAACCAAATTCGAGAGGAACGCGGTTTGCCTGTGGTGGTGAAGAAGGTGAAGAAACGGGCGACGAAGTCGGCAACCGAGCCTACAGTCCTCACCAACAAGCAAAGGATAGCTATGGGTTGGTCGTGTCAGGGTCGGATACCAGACGATATCATTGATGGTCTACGCCAGGAGCGCAAAGACGGCATTCCTTTGGAAAACTCGAACATCGTTGCTATCTGGGACGCCGAGATGAAGGACAGGGCGAGGAGAAAGAAGGAAGAGGGTGCAGGATCCACCAAAAAGCAAGCCTCGCCCTGCAGGGACAAAGATATCGATGTCTCTATGGAGAACCCCGAGGCTGACTATGTGCCTGGATCTACTCTCACGGAGCCGGGGACTGGTCATGTCTCGCCCGAGCCCGTTACCGGGAAGCGGAAGGCGAAGGACGTGGTCGTTACCCCAAGAACGTCGAAGAGACGCCTCACCAAAACTACAGTTTCACAGAGGTCAGAATCCAGGACTGTGGCATCGATGTCGCCCTCGCCCACTGATGTTGGAAGTCCGTCCGGAAACGCAGCTTCCCCTGTCCGTCCTGATGATCATTCGGGTCAGTCAACTACAGTACACATCGCCCGGCCTTCAACGAAAACATACGTTCCGCTCGACGCCTCCAAACTGGACGCTCGAGCACGGGGTGTGGTTGATCAATACGACAAGCGATTCTCCCCGGGCCTATTTCTCAACCCTCATATGAAGCAGAAGGTTGCGCGAGGTCGACCACGCAAGGCCTTGATGGCCACCTTCAAGCTACCGCATCTAGCCGATCTCGACTGGTTTATAACAGAATCGGAGCAGGAGCAAGGCGCAATTCAAGCAGAACGTTCTCAAACACCCCAGTCTGTGCAGACCAATGTTACCCAGCGAGATGGAGCAACGACTCAACCACGACAAGGCACTTTGGCCGAAACTGTACCAGAACCGCATATTGAGGCGCCACTCGCTCATCTGGAGACCATCCCACAAAACTTGACCCCAGCCCAAACACGGTCACCTTCTCCAATGCAACCGCAGTCACCGATCGGGATGCAGACGCAAAAGGATGTTCTGAGCTATGGGGAGTCATCTAACTCTGCTAGACAGTCAGTCCTACCTGATAGCGAGCCGTCACAAGACAGCAATGAGGTCAACAAAGAAGAAGCGACATCGTCAGTACCAGACGCAACGGTCGTTAGAAGCGACGAAGTTGTCCCCGGTATAACTGCAGGCTTCGCCAATGTTGAAGAGCCTAGCGATGTTTCTCCCAAGCCGGCACAGAAACAACTGCCACAGACAGTCGTACCAACACCTCGTATGGTGGGCGGCTGGGCCGCCATCAATGCAACCGAGCGCGCCCGTATGACACCGTATCAGAGCCCTTATGCCGCTAGCCCAAGTCCGATAGCCCAGTCGTCGCCAGCTCCCGTTCCGGAGGCCAATTCTGGTGCTCCTCCGCCTAATGCGGTTCACAGCGCTATCGTCGAGACCCCAGTACCGACTATCCCGGGCACCAAACCAAGGAAAGCACAAC